CTGCGGACGCACTGCCACATCCTCTGCCTGCGACAGAATAATGTACGTGCACCCATGTACTCGTGCAGGTATATACATACATTTACAGCGGGACGCTGGATGCTCCTCTTCCCTCGTTTTGTGCCACGGTGTGTGGTCTATATTGTTTTTCTTGATGATGTGTGCTTGTCCCCTACGTGATTTGTTTTGACCTTGAATCGTTTGCATTAAGAAACGCGCCGATGTGCCCACTGTGGCTGTGGGCTGCTCTTTGCTTCTCTCTGTTTGGTGTTGCTCTTACTGTGTGTGTGCCTAACTCTCCGTGTGTCTCTCTCTCTCCTTTTTCTCCGCCGCGCAGACCAGCGACCCGAAGTGAAGTGATGACGGTGACAGTGCGCCACGTGCTGTTTGTGCTTTCCCTCGCGCTGTGCTGCGGGTGCGTGGCGGCGGTGCAGCAGGATCAGATGCCTGGCATCAGCGCTGATGCGCTCTCCGACGAACCGGATGCAGTGAGTGAAGGGGCAGAAGAAAAAGTGACGGCTGTAGATGAAGAGCTCGCGAAGGCTAAGAGTGCATTGGAGAAGGTAAACAAGGAAGTTGAAAGAACAGAGAGGGCGCTGCGGGATGCAACAGCAGCACGTGATGGAGCGGGGAAGATAGACGTGAAGGGAAATGAATTCTGGAAGGCCGGTCTAGCAGTAAAGACTACCCAATCGGATCGTGATCAGGCTATTTGGGAAAGGGACCAGATACAAACGCTTGTGCAGAAAATCGAGACCTTAAAGCAACAAGCTACAGTTGTTGAGGGAGCAAGTGACGCTGAGCAGAAGCGCTTGGGCGAGGCCAAAAAGGCGGCAGCAGACGCTGAATCGCTGGCCAAACAAACCGAGAATCATGCGAGTCATGCAGAGAAGGCGGCACGTGCGGCTGAAGCGGAGCTTGAGAAGGCTCGGCAGGCGGAGGTAGAAAAAGAGAGAGCGAAACATGCGCGGCCTCCGGTGACACCACAGGGAGACGCTGCCAAAGGCGGTACGCGTGCAGCAGGTGCTGATAATAAGGAGCAGCGCTCTGATGGCAACGAATCACACGAAGCACTGTATGGCAACGGAGCCGAGGATGCAGTGGCTGCAGGTCACGATGAAGCACTAAATGCTGCAACAGAAACCAGCGTGCCTGGTGGAGCAGGCGAGGGCCACACCAATGGGCAGAGTGCGCAGGGGCCTGCCGGGGGAGAAGGAACACCTGACACTGCAGCGGGGTCCACACACAACGCCCAGTCGATTGGTGCGGGCATCAGCAGTAACGTGGGGGCGGACGGCAGCGACACTCACACGTTGGTGTGTGCCCCACTGCTGCTGGTGGTGCTGGCTACGCTGGCCTGCGGTGCTGTGTGATGAGCAGTGGAGTCACGGGGTGACGACGGATACCCCTTAATTCTGCTTTGCTTTCTGTGCTGATTTCTCAGCAACTAAAACATATTGCTTCTTTTCATCACTTCCATAAACTGGGCTCGGTGCCCCATCCTCTGCCGTCAACCGGATGCAGCACATGCACCCACACATATATACAGGTATATACGTACATGTCCATTGGGCTACGGGTATTACTCTTCCCTCCTTTTGTTAGGGAGTGTGTGCGCTATATTGTTTTCTCTGGGACTATGGGCTTGTCCCCTAATTCATTCTTTTTCTTTTACTGCTTTACTTTGACTGATGCTCCGATGTGCCCTCTCACTGTGTGTGTGGGGGCTCTTGCCCTCTCTCTCTCTCTCTCTCGCTGTGGTGTTATTCTCACTGTGTCTCTGTGTGTATGTCTAACTCTCCGTGTGCCTCTCTCCCTCCCTTTTCTCCGCCCCGCAGACCAGCGACCCGAAGTGAAGTGATGACGGTGACGGTGCGCCACGTGCTGTTTGTGCTTTCGCTCACGCTGTGCTGCGCCTGCGGGTGCGTGGCAGCGGTGCAGCAGAATGAGGTGCTTGGCATCAACGCCCAACTGCCCTCGCCGCTGCATCCTCAGGTACTGAGCGATATTGATGTTCCTGCAGAATATACCGCCGAGAAAATGAAAAGTGAAGCTGACGAGGGAATGCAAATGATTGCGAAAGCTTTGAAGAAGGCGCAGGATGCCTCAGCTGAGGCTACGCGGCTGCATACAATGGCGAGTGACAGTATTGATGCCGCAGAGGCCAAGGGCTCCAGCACCAGTGGGGGAGCAGCAGGTTCCCTTGAAGCAGCTAAAGCGAAGGATGTGCTCCAGCCTGCCCGCTCTGCGAAGAGTACTGTCGATCGTGAATTTAAATTGCTGCAGGAAATCAATACGGATGCGCAGTTGGCGCATGACTGGGCGTTAGCCAATCTGACAGAAGGGGATGCAAAACGTGTGGAGGCGTTTAAACAAATGCGAACAGTCCAAGCTTACGAGTGGACCGCTATAAACAGAGTGAACACTCTTCTTCAGCATGCTAAGACCGTTGTGGATGCGTCGGTGGGAGCACTTAAGGAGCTGAGGATTACTGAAGCCGCCAAGCCACTCCCTGATGTGATGGTGCCGCGAGTTCCGAAGCCGCCCGCCGACGTGCCTGGCGCTGGTGGTGTTCCGGGACTGGACGGCAGTGGGCCTCACATGTGGGTGCGTGCATCCCTGTTTCTTGTGGTTGCGGCATATGCTGCCGTGTGATTAGCCGTGCGTCTCTGAGACTACGCCGAAAAACCAATACTTTTATATTGAGGTGTGAACGAAGTTTTTTTTTTCCTGTTTTTAATGCTGTCCCACCGCAAGCGTAGCGCCACGTCCTCTGCCTGCGACAGGATACAATACGTGCAAACATCTACAGGTATAAACATATAGGAACCATTGGATCAACGCGCATAACTATTCCCTATTGGTTTCGGTGAAGCCGCGTTATATACCGAATTAATTGTTTTTCTTTCTCTTTATTTATTGCTTCACTTTGATGCTCTGATGTGCCCTCTCGCTGTGTGTGTCGGCTGTTGCTCTCTCTTTCGCGCTTTGCTGTTGTTGTCACTGTGTGTGTGCGACTGTCTGCCACCTTCCCTCTCTCTCTCTCCCTTTTCGCCGCCGCGCAGACCAGCGACCTGAAGCGAAGTGATGACTGTGACGGTGCGCCACGTGCTGTTTGTGCTTTCCCTCACGCTGTGCTGCGCCTGCGGGTGTATGGCGGGGGTGCCGCAGAATGGAATGTCTGGCATCAGCGCTAATGAGCTCTCCGTTTCGCAAGGGGCGAGTATAAGTGAAGCTGGAGTAGCACCGCATGGTATTGATGAGGCACAGAGTATTGCAAAGAATGCTTCGGCCGCAGCGGTGGCGGCGTCAACGAAGGCAAACAATTCGCTGAAGATAATACAAGAAGCCGTGGATAGTGCCAAGGCTGCAAAGGAAGCTAAAGAGCAAAACGGCGTTACTTCAGGTGATGCAGCGACTGCCGCAGAGAATGCTTGCACAGAGCCCGAGGCTGTACTTTCGATGGTTTCAAACGCAACCCTCAACACAACGGCGAAGCTAATTGCAGTTGAGGCACTGACTGCACAGGTGATGGAGATGAAGAAAGAGTTTAAGCCTGTGGGCTCACAGACAGCAGTCGAGCAGGCTGACAAAGCCACAGTGAAGGCGTTCGTTTACGCATTGGAAGCGGAGTGGAAGGCCGAAGATGCCGAAAGGTATGCAGGCGTGGCTGAGGAGTATGCCAAGAAGTCTTGCAAGGCGGCGTTTGCTCCCGTTGAAGCACAGAGGCCTCCAGAGCCTCCTAAACAAGAAGCGAATATTCAGGTTCAGCAAGACGAAGCTGAGAGGGAGAAATTGAAGCTGCAACAGAGCCTGCAAGCACAGCAGGAGCATTTGAACACTCAGTCGAAGGAAAATTCCCAGCTGGAAGTGCCGAGTGAGCCATCTGAGAGCCCTCAAGAGATGGGCCAGTCCGACAATGGACCTGTTGCCGCGGAAGAAAACCCCAAATCGGAAGAGCAGCACGCAACAGATGACGCGAAAGGGCAAGAAACCGTGAGCAGCGCCCAGCAGCAGGCGGAGCCAAGCGCCGCGGCGCCGCCTCCCGTCAGCGCCCAACTGAACAGCAGCGCTGCCACCACTCTGACAGCGGACAGTAGCAACATCCGCACATGGGCGTGCGCACCTCTGCACCTGCTTCTGTTGGCGGCGCTGGCATCTATTGCCGTGTGGTGATCGGCCGAGATAACGAGGGGGACATAAAACGCAGCAACCGCGTGTTGTGCTTTTATTAATTATTTTGTGGAAAAACATGCTAACACTTGTGTGGCATTTTATCTTTTTTAACATTTTTTACTCATTGCTGCCCAACTACAGGCTCAGCTCCATTTCTTCTACACCCGCAACGGTGCGCTCGTTGAGCCTTGTGTACGTGCTTTGTTGGGCGTCTCTTTTAATGTGTGTGGATTTTGTTCTTCTGCGGGACTATGGGCTTGTCCTCTAATTCATTGTTTTTCTTTTCTCCTTTACTCGTTTACTTTGAGTGATGCTCTGATGTGCCCTCTCGCTGTGTGTGTGGGCTGCTGCTCTCTGTCTGTGTGTCTGTGTGTGTCTAACTGTCCGTCACCTATCTCCCTTTTCGCCGCCGCGCAGACCAGCGACCTGAAGCGAAGTGATGACGGTGACGGTGCGCCACGTGCTGTTTGTGCTTTCCCTCGCGCTGTGCTGCGCCTGCGGGTGCGTGGCGGCGGTGCAGCAGTACCAGGTACTGAGCGACATTGATGTGCCTGCAGAATATACCAACGAGAAAATAAGAAGCGAAGCTGTTGAGGGAATGCAAATGATTGAAGAAGCTTTGAAGAAGGCGCAGGATGCCTCAGCTGAGGCTGCGCGGCTGTATACAATGGCGAGCGACAGTATTGAAGCCGCAGAGGCCAAGGGCTCCAGCACCAGTGGGGGAGTAGCAGGTTCCTTTGAGGCAGCTAAAGCGAAGGATGTGCTCTACCCTGCCCACTCTGCGATGGGAGCAGTCGAGTACAAATCAAAGTTGCTTGAGGAGACCCATCGGGAGGCGAATGTTGCTTACAAAAGTCTGTTATCGAGCCTCTCAGTGGTGGAAACAAAACGTGTGGAGGTGTTTAAACAAATGCGGACAGTCCAATCGTAAGAGTTGACTGCTATAAACAGAGTGAACACTCTTCTTCAGCATGCTAAGACCGTTGTGGATGCGTCGGTGGGAGGTCTTGGAAGGCTGTATATTACTGATGCCGCCACGCCACTTCCTGCTGAGATGGTGCCGCGAGTTGCAAATCCACCAGTGACAAAGCCGCCAGCTGACGTGCCTGGCGCTTCTGAGTTGCCCAATGTTGACATTGGCGACGGTTCGTAGCAGCAGACCGAGCAGCGGAGTGGTGGCGGGCATACGGAGACGAAACCTTCTGGGGGCGGAGCTGAAGCTGGAGCTGGAGCCGAAGGGACGGGAACGACCGGCACAACGGGTGGGGCAGCAGGTGGCTCTGCTGACTTGGCGGGACGGGACGGCAGTGGGCCTCACATGTGGGTGCGTGCATCTCTGTTTCTTGTGGTTGTGGCATACGCTGTCGTATGAAGTGTTCGTGCGTCTCTGGGACTACGCTGAATCCCTATTAATTACATCTTGCTTTGTGAAC